GTGTGTGTAAATGTGTGTTTTGGAAACGTGGAGAGAAGGGGTTGTGCTTTTAATCATAATGTATAGAAAGAGTACATGCCAAGGCTCATGAGTATGTTCAGATTCTTTTGGTACAATTTGGAAATAAGTTTGTTTTTTATCTTTAAAAATTGTATTGTCTTCATACCTAGAAGTAAATCTACGGAGGGTTAGAGGGTGCCACTGATTTGTCCTACATCTTTTTGCTGCCCCTCTATTGTTTCTGTCTGTTTGTCTTGCGTGTCCCCGACATGTAATGGCCGTTATTCTGTCGATGGGCTTCTATCTATCTATCTATCTATCTATCTATCTATCTATCTATCTATCTATCTATCTATCAAGCAAACAAAACCAGAAGTAACCCCACTGAGACAATCAACAGATATACGGCACTGTGCGTCTCGTGTTTTTGTTGGGCGTCAGCTCACGTGACGATGAGAACAACATGGCGTCACAGGAAGCGGAAACACATGGCGACCTCGTTTTGGCAGACTTTCCAGAAGGCTACAATGAACTGACCAGAAAAGTGCTGACTGGATTCAAGTGGGTGGCCAAGTTTTGTCCTGGTGCGAAATACATTTTGAAAGTAAGTACATAATAAAAACAAGTCGCTTTCTCGGAATTTATAAGCTCTCTTTGCTCAGTACCTAGTTTAATCATTTTGGCGTCAAAGATCTTGAGTTTCACATATTGTCAAAATTTTAAATAATAATTAATAATAATAATTGCATTTATAAAGCGCATATCCATGCTCAAGAGCTTGCTCTATGCGCTTTACAACTATTATTACCCCAGCAGACCCTCTGAGAACACCCAGAAACATTCTCAGCTTCCACGGAAGCATACAATGCAAGCTGCGGATTTCACGCGCCCAAACACTGTCAAACAAGATCTTTCATTGTCTATAGCTGGGTACCCATTTCCACCTGGGTGAAGTGAGGAAAATTTGTGCAAAGTGCCCTTCCCAAGGACACAACGTCGGGCCCCTCACGTGATTCGAACCCACGACCTTACGGTTGGGAGTCAGAGAGCCTAACCACTAGGCCACCGACGGGTTTATGGGCGGCCCGAGCTGACGAATCAGATGTCTGCCTTCACACAATTTTTCGAATGCGATTCTTTGAATATCAGGACAATGACTCCAAAATGTCAAATAAAACGTTGTAATTCTGAGGTAACGAAGTACAAACGGAATGTAAGACCGTAATGTAGTTCAGCAAATTTTGAAATAAAAAACACTCTAACCAGCATGTACTGTGTGGATTTAAAGTCTTTTTCACGATAATAAGGTTAGGTAAGAAAAAACACCCTCGAATTCAACATCTCCAGCTGAACCGAGCTAAACAGGTGGGCAGCCTTTGAAAATCTCCAAGAGAACACAAGTTCAAGAGTACCCCCCCCCCCCCAATTAACGATTCGAACCATAACCCAGCACGGTTCGACGGGAGCGAACGACACCAACATCGGTCTGTGTGGCGACATTTTGTTACCCTAGAATCAAAGTTCTGCCTGACATTGTTGGCCGTATTGAGTTACTAAGACCACGATCATTTAACATCGTTATGAAAATATTCAAAGCATTGCATTCGGATAAGCTTAGCATGTTGTGAAACTAAAAAATTTTAACGTTAAATTTCTCAAAACTCTGTACTGAGCAGATAGAACTTTGTAATTCTTGGGTAGTGATTCTCGCTACTGTAGAATTACAACGTGTTATCTGCTCAATACCGAGTTTTGAGAAATTATACATCAAAGATTTTGAATTTACCACCATGACAAGCTGTTTCAAATGCAATTCGTTGAATATCTTGATAACGACCCCGAATAATCTCGAGATAGGAAGAGAGGTGAGAGAGAGAGAGAGAGAGAGAGAGAGAGAGAGAGAGAGAGAGAGAGAGAGAAAGAGAGAGAGAGAGAGAGACGGGGTGGGTGTTTTTTTTTGGGGGGGAGGGGTGATCGTAACCCCTTGTTATTGTCTTCTATTCTACACAAAAAACACGAAAAACACCTTGTGTCAACCTTCCAGACTGACGAAGACATTTTCATCGATATGCCGAGACTGCTGGCGGTGCTGTCCAGCCAAGAAATGACCAACACCATATATGGTTCGGTGTCTCTGAGTGACCAAGTTGTACGAGACACGTCATCGAAGCAGCAGGTGACGAAAGAGGCCTACGCTCCGGAGTTCTACCCACCTCACGTCAGGGTAAGGGTTCGAACCTTAAAGATCGGGAGCAATATGATCTATCTATCTATCTATCTATCTATCTATCTATCTATCTATCTATCTATCTATCTGTTTACTTGTGTGTGTGCCAGTCTGTTTGTCTGTATGTATGTATGTCTGTCTTGGTGCTACGTAACTTGGGGTCATAAGTTATATTATTATACAGCCTCTTTGGATCGAAATAGCAAAAGTTCTTGTAATATATTACATTTTTTAATTATTAAAATAAGATGAATTCTCAATAATGAGCAGACCTAACATTGTTTCACACATATTCCACAAGATACAAATAAATTAAAAACGGGCCGACAACGAATGAAAAGACGAGAAAGTTATTTTGTTATGTTCAGTTGGTATTCCCATTCCTATTGAAGGCATTACCTCACACCCCCCACACCCCAACCTACACACACACACACACTAACCTTTTCTTCTTCCTCAGGGCACCATGTACGTTCTCCCAGTCTCATTAGCCAAACAGATTGTGGACGTAGCCGAGTACCTCCCTTACGTAGGCTTAGAGGACGCTCACATCACTGGCACACTAGCCAAGGTGTTGGAAGCCAGGCACCTCGACATACCCGAGAGGCTCTACGACCGGACAGCCGCCAAGAAGCCAGAGCCCTGCGATTTTGTCACGGGCACAAGGCTCCTGTCTCAGGGCGTCACGCCTAAGTTGGCCCACGCTCTGTGGGAGAAGGTGGCCAATCCGGGAGAGTGTGGCTCGCCGGACGGACAGAAGGAGGGGGAGAAAGTGTGAGGAGTTGTGGGAGAGGTTGGGGAAAAGGGAGAAAGTGAGGGAGAGTGAGGGGGGGGGAGAAAGAGAGGGAGAGAGAGAGACTGACAGGGGGGGCGAGGGAGGGGGAGAGAAAGAGAGAGGGGGAGGGGAGAGAGAAAGTGGTGGGAAGAGAGTGCGTGTGTATGTGTGTATGTGTATGTATGTGTATGTATGTATGTGTGTGTATGTGTGTGTGTACACGTGTGTTTGTGTGTGAAGATGAGGAAAACGAAGAGGGAGAGAATGCTTGAAAAGAGGAGGGGGAAGAAGGAGGAGGGAAAGAGCGGGGTTGAGGAGGAGAGAGAAGGAAGAAAAAAGAGCGGGGACAGGAGGGGAGAAAGAAGGAAGAGAAAGAGTTGGAAAGGATGGAGGAAAGGGGAGGAGCAGTGCGAACAGAAGAAAGCGATAGAATTATTGTTAGAAATTATGTGGAAAAGTAGAGAACGGGTGAAAAGAGGAAGAGAAAAGAGAATGAGTCGCTGTGGGGATATGTTTCTCTAATTGTCCGTTTGTCCGTGCAGATGTCTATCTTTACATTATTCCCCTGTCGCTATAGAGATACGCCAATCTTACTCTTTTGGTTTTATGAGTCCACAGAGACATATCGCTACCTCAGAATTACAAGGTTAAATTTGACATTGGTTTGCGGGGGGGGGGGGGGGGGGTCTGCTTTGAGTTACGAAGACCATAAGGTCAGAAACCAAATGTTTTACCTGCTCTAATAAAATCGTAGCAGCAGATCAAAGGCAACTTTGCGGCAAATTTCGAATAAATAAATAAAAATTTCATATTTGGATATTCCATGTAATACATATTGTTGCTTGCCATTTTTAAGTTTCAGATAAAGACACACACACACACACACACACACACACACCTGTATATATATATATATATATAGATATAGAAACTTCATATACATATATTTATATATATATATATATATATATATATTTATATATATATATATATATAGAGAGAGAGAGAGAGAGAGAGAGAGAGAGAGAGAGAGAGAGAGAGAGAGGGAGAGAGAGAGAATCAAAATGACATATTTGGGTTGGAAGTGTCACAAAACTCAGAGTAAAACTAACAATAAACAATTTTGTCAGTGCGAACGGAACAGATATGATGTTTTCTGAATGTATTGTTTGTGAGTCTGTATTTGCATTAAGAATCTACACCGAAGGCTGGGGGCTCTCATGGCCTAGAGGTTAAGGTGTTGGCCTCTCATTCAAAAGGTCCCGGGTTCGAATCCGGGTAGCGACCGAAAAATTTTCTTCTCTAAATTTGTCTCCTTTTACCTCATTTCCAGCTCTCTAGCAAAGTTCTGTCGTCTGCTTTCGTCTCCTCTTTCTGATCCCACCCCCTCACCTCCTTTGCCCCTTCCTCTGGGCTCCTGATTCTCTCTGCAGCCTTTATACTGCTACTCCTTGGGTTCTTCTTACTGCTGTCTTTCAGCCACACCCCTGATCTTCTGATAGGAAAGATCTACATCTAGCCTTCTCGGACAAGGGTGAAAAATCTCGGAGGGCCCGTGTGCAAGTTGCGCACGTTAAAGATCCCTTGGTGGTCTAAAATCGATAAGAGTAGGCTTCGGCCGCCACCCGGGCAAAATTCAAAATTTTCTTCCAACTGAAAATATAAGGTGTGTCCCGCGCGCTCATATGACCTTATGCAGTTGCGAGCGCCGTAAAACACTTTTCAAAAACAAAACACCGAAGGCGAAGAGAATGTGTCAGGCACATTTAGAACTCTGCAGAGACCGCCTTCTCTGTGCCTTCTGCTCGCCTGACGTGAAGAAAATCGTCTCGGTTTCTCTATTTCTTTACTAGACTATTGATACTAGTAATTTTTAAAACAAACAAACTAACAAAACCTAGAAATGTTCAAAGAATAATACGATCCTATTATTTTGAAAGAGAAATGAAAGTTCACGTTTGAGCGAATCACAAGGGGATTTTTTTTTAAATCTTATAAAGTCATTCTTTAACTACGCAGAAAAGAAACTAGACATGTTCAACATTGCAGTCTCAAGTTATTCAAACAATGAAAAATGTCGGCTTGGTTTCTGAGATAATAAATTTCAAAATTAAATATAATAAAAGTTTCAATTTAAAAATTTAAAAAACGCATGCGCTAAAAATTATGTAAATGCTATAAAACCGGTTTGATTTTGGGAGCAAATGTGGGATCGTCTTATTGGTCTGAAAACGATCTTTAAAATTAGATGTTAAATTCGTTTCTGAGATTGGCAGATGGGAAGAAATCGGAACGGAAAGTAATACAAATATTAACAGAATCGAGTTACGCAGGCACAGCGGCGGACATCGCGATCATCATGTGTTTGTTAAACGTGGGTATGGCCGACTGACAGTGATTTGTTAACTTCGTACCGGAAGTCAGACCGGGGTTTGGTCAGCAACTAATGTACCGTTTTCAGTGAAATTTTAACAGTAGTGCATTGTGTAATATTGTAATGGTAACATATTTTTGTTACCGAAACTCCTAATGTAGAATCTACATCAGATCACGAATTGTTCCACGAATTGTATCATTGTCCCTTTACTGAATAGTCGTCTGGAAAAGAATTAATTGGAAATCCGAATTCCGATCAGTATGTTGGGGATCAGCGCTTAGTGATTTAAGATAAGATTAAAATGTTTGTTTCAAAATGAATTACTCTCATTTTGACTGTCAGAAATGTCTCACGAACCCCCTTGGGATGGTCTCGCACACTCCCAGGGGTTCGTGCATCTCAGTTAGTGAACCCTTGCCTTATATGGAGTGCCCACTACGGCTGGATCGGGCCGATCTCCCGACTCGATCGCCTGAAACTGAAATCAAACACGTTTGTTTTTGAGGCGATCGGGTCGGGCGATCGGCCCGATCGGCCGATCACGTCCGTAGTGGGCACCCCGTATTAGACTGAGTGTGTCGGAGCATCGGTAGCTGACAGAAGAACCACCATAAATGCGCTGCCTCGGACGTACAAAGTTGTATCTGACATTTCCGGCAGTCTTGGAGTTACGTACGATTTTGACAGAGCAGATTAAACATTTGGCAACTGACCTCATGGCCTAAGATTGAGACTAAATTTCCCTCCGAGGATAATAATATCTTAATTTTAATCTTAGACCATGAAGTCAGTTGTCAAATATTTTATTTGCTCTGTCAAAATCGAAAGTAAATATATCGAGTGTCCTCGTATGCCTGCAGGGTGGGATGTCGTATCTCACCCACAAGGAGTTCCTGTGATAGGTAAAGTGGAAGCAGCCTGCCTCCTAAATAATCTTTATTATGACTATAGAGTCGTATTGTGTGGGGTTAACGGATGCTCTGGTGAGGTTTGCTCCTTGTCTTTCATATCAAACATGTATCGTTCTTCACTTGCCTCCTTCTATTTTGTGTTTGCTACTCTCTAGTAGCACCTCTAACCTTCGGCACTTATATGGTCTAATTGTGTTGAGAGTGCATTAAAATGCTACAGTAAAGCGATTTAAAATCCTTAACAAAAACACAGAGCAATGTCTTATGACTCATCTTGTTATCCCCACCATTGCTAGAAATGTGTTCTTTGTATGTATTAAACGTATTTTTATATCGCGTACGTTTGTGCACAATGTACATTGCCCAAAAAATCTTTTCGTTTTGCACAACAAATAAACCTATCCATTCTTCCTCTCTTTGTTCCCTGACTTTTTTTTCTGCGGTGCCGATGAGCCAGGTTGTATTACCACTATAAAAAGGCCGTTCAGTTCCACCAAGTCTAGTCGTTACAGCCCATTTTGGTTTGGAACTTGGCTTAAATTCACCGAGGTCCGATGCTAAATATATGGTGAAATGGTACAGGTTTAACGCCCCTATCGACACAAAAAGGTTAATTTTTTACAGGTTAAGAGGCAGAACCTCCAAGATTTACATCCATCCCCGAAAGGACAGAGCCAAACAGAAAATCCACGTTAAGTACCTTTCCCAAGGCCACAACGAACTGAGGATCGCACCCTGAACCCGTCAAGCAATCTCACGATAACGGATCCGATAGCCTGACCACTAGGCTACCGACGCCACTTTCCGAAGCTAGATCTGAACACAGAGTTACCTCCTTTTAAACTAGAGTCCGTACGAGGTCACGTGATACGGAAACATTTGAGTTTGTTGGCGGCCATGTTTCAGTGGGCGAAAACGTTTGTTTACATGTTTGTGGGCTTGTCTATAGTGTACATGTATGGATCTGAAACAAATGAACATACACTTTTCAAGTGCAAGCTTTTTTTTTCAGCTTACCCTGAATCCCTTGGGCGGGGAAAAAGCACGCTGTAGACAATTGTTTACTTTTTCTTCTACTTTTAGTGAACAATAAATGATATATGCCATTTTAAATACAATTCATTTACATTCTAGCATACATACACACACACACATACACACACACATACATACACACACACACACACATACACACACACTTACACACAAACACAGACACAAACACAAACATACATACAAAACTACACACACACACACACACACACACACACACACATACACACACACACATGCACAAACAACACACAGACACACATGCACAAGCAACACACAGACACACACACACACACACACACACACACACACACACACACACACACACACAAATGCCATTAATGCTTTTAGGTATTATAATAATTAAAGCAGGTACGGCATGTAGACAGACATTCAGACGAGTAATGGAAATATCAATAAACTAAAATAACAGAAGTGAAACGACCGCAGCAAAAGTAACAGCAACGAAAATACAGTGTAGCAGCTGTGAAATTAACAGTATCTGAAGTAACAGCAGTAAAAGTAACATTAGCAGAAATAACGTTAGCTGAAGTTACAGCAACGAATGAAACACCAGCTGAAATAACTTACAGCAACGAAAATGACAATAGTTGTAGTATAACACCGGGCCAAAGTAACACTAGTTGAAATAATAACAATGAATAACTGATGTATCAGAGGTGAAAGTAATAGCAGCCAAAGTAGCATTAAAGAATGCACTGTATTATTATTATTGAGTAATGAAATATGTAATAATAGCCTAAGTAACAGCTGCGAAAGTAACAGATCGAAAGTAGATTTACACGTGATCTTGAGCTGTCTTGTCCTAAAAAGGTCTTGCTGTCGCCTTGAAACAAAAACTGGCGCTGTGGGTGAAAAGAGAAATGCAATACATATAAAAGAAGTCAAAGTGCAGAAATAATAGTGATCATGCATGAATATTGAGCATACAATGGCATGGAAGGGAGCATCTCTGAGGAGAGATGTGTTATCTATGGTCGATAACGTGAGGAGAAGGGGAGGGGGGGGGGGGGGGGCCATACGAATGAAAAGGTAACCACGAAGGTTTAGAATATCAATACTAGCACATGTATGTATTGCGTTTGCTGGCATGCAGGCATGCAGGCATGCAGGCATGCTTGCATACGTGTGCGTGTGCCTGTGTGTGCGTGTGTCCGTGTGTGTGTGTGTGTGTGTGTGTGTGTGTGTGTGTGTGTGTGTGTATGTGTTTGGCACGTAATAATGCAAGTATGCAGGTATGCATGCAGGTACGCATGCAGGTATGCAAGTATACAAAAAATACATGCATGCACGTACATACTCACGCAAACACACACACGCACGCACGCATTCGTGCACGCACGCACATACACTATATATCTATCTGTCTATGTATCTATCTATCAATCTATCTATCGATATATCGCTCTATCTATCCACATAGAAAGAATGTACGGGGGCTCTCGTGGTCTAGAGGGGTGTTTGCCTCTCATTCAATAAGTCCCGGGTTCGAATTTGGATTGCGATGGAAAATGTTCTTCTAAAAATTGTTCTCTTTTCACCTCCTTTCCTGCTCTGTAACAATGTTCTGTCGTCTGATTTTGCCTCCACTTTCTGCCCCCACCCCCTCACCTCCTTTGCCCCTCCTCAAGGCTCCTGACTCGTTCTGCAGCCTTTCTACTGCAACTCCTTGGCTCCTTCTAACTGCTGTCTTTCAGCCACACCCCTGATTTTTTTTTTTATGGAAGTAAGATCTAACATCTTACCTTCTCGGATAAGGGCAAAAAATCTCGGAGGTACCATGTGGAAGTTGCGCACGTTAAAGATCACGGTGATCCGATAAGAGTCGACCTCGGCCGCCACCTGGGCAAAATTCAAAATTTCCTACCAACGACAATAAATGTGTTATGTGTCCGCGCGTTCATATAACCTTATGCAGGTGCAAGTGCCGTGCATGAAACATTTACCCCCCCCCTCCCCCAAAAAGACGGAAAGTGAAATGTACTCACCACACAGCCAGAAGCATCAAGTGCCAGGAGACGGACTGTTTAGACAGCGAGGACCGGCCCAGGGCACATTCCTGGTCATCCTGAGATAAGACAGACCGAGGGTTATACACAAGGAGACAGCATTTTTTCCCAACTTCATACAGTGACTGCTACTCTCTGTCTCACGGTCTCTCTGTTTCTGTCTCTGTCCCTGTCTCTCTCTCTCCCTCTTTCTCTCTCTCTCTCCCTCTCTCTCTCTCTCTCT